TGGGCCCGCCGAGTCATGGCGGCCCCAGAGCCGGCGCCAAGGCGAGGCCGGGAGCGGGAGCGAGAAGAGGAGAGCGAGGACGAGAGCGACATCCTGGAGGAGAGCCCGTGCGGCCGCTGGCAGAAGCGGCGGGAGCAGGTGGGTTGGTGCGATGGAGCCACCCTCTCGGAGCGAGGGGTCTTGGGGACGCTGGGAAACCTCTTCGTCGCCGCTCAGGCGGGTTTAGGCCTGTCCCTGGACCCCTCAGGGCTGGCGCCACGCCCTGGCGAGAAACCCCAATTCTCTGAGGTCCTGTCTCCTCCTGGGACCACCTACCTACGCCCCTGGATCAGTCACGAGCCCCCTGGGGAGCCTCCTGTTCCAGCCCCCGCCCTGCTCGCATAACACCCAGGCTCCTAGGGGCGGCCCCCACGCAGACCCGTTTTCCCACGGAGACGCAGGGCCCGAGCGCCCCCGTGCATGTAGCCCAAGACGTTTCGGGGCGCGCTTAGCCCTCACACACCCGCAGGTGAGCCAGGGGAACATGCCGGGCGTCCAGAGCGCCTTCCTGGCCATGGACACGGAGGAGGGGGTAGAAGTGGTGTGGAACGAGCTGCACTTCGGCAACAGGAAGGCCTTCGCGGCCCACGAGGTGAGACCCCTGCTCCCGCCTGCGGTCTGTGACCACCGTGCCCCTGTCACCGACTGCCTGACCGCCACCCCTCCCCAGGAGAAGATCCAGACCGTGTTCGCGCAGCTGGCCCTGGTGGACCATCCCAACATCGTCAAACTGCACAAGTACTGGCTGGACACGTCCGAGGCCCGTGCGCGGGTGAGCCACGGGCAAGGCCACGGGTAGGGCGAGGCCCCCGGGCCCAGCAGGGGTGGCTTCTCAGGTGAGGGCCCTGGCCAGCCAGCCCCTGCGCTGCGGCGCGCCGCCTCCTCCAGGCTCCGCCTGACCCGGCCGCGCTGCCCGCCCCTCCCCTGCGCCTGCAGCTTCCTGCACGCCTGCAGCCCCCCCATCATCCACGGGAACCTGAACAGCGACAACATCTTCAACCAGCACAATGGCCTC